AGCCCTGCTGCACTCAAGGCCTCAGCCTGACCGGCTGACACACAGTGGGCACTTTCATTGGGCAACTCCCTGCGATCAGCACAGTTTTCCCAGCTTTTTGCTTTGGCCTCTGTTTCCCACTGTTTCTTTTGTTTTGTTGGGTGAAGGGCAGTGACTGGAAGGGAGGACCCTCCACCATGTTTCCCCCTTATTCCATGTGGACAGGGAATTTCCCTCCTTGTGGGTAAGCCCTTCCCTTTGTATCTTTATGGTTGCTGCTATTTCCTTGTCACTAAACTTATTTTTCAACTGACGCCTCCTGTCATTTTATATCTTTGTATTGATGGGAGTAAAAACGGAAGGAGTTCATTTGATTGGAGTTCCTGCCCCAGTGTTTGTCTTTAAACAAAGTTAAAGTTGCATGGGGTTTTGCAGAGTCACAAATGACTGATCATTCCATGAGGTTCCACAGTGTCCCAGGATGCCCTGGGTCCCATGTAGCCCTACACTCTCACAATGGCCCCTTGATTCCATGAGGTTCCACAGTGTCACAGGGTCACCTTGGTTCCATGAGGTACCTCAGTGTCACAGTGGCCCCTCAGTTCAGTGAGACTGCAGAGTGTCCATGGGTTCCTTTGGTTCCACGAGGCTCTGAAGTGTAACAGTGGTTCCTTTATTCCTTGAGGTTCCAGAGTGTGAAAACAGCTCCTTGATTCCATGAGATTCTACCATATCCCAGTGTTCCTTTGATTCCCTGAGTTTTGGCAGTGTCCCAGGATCCCTTTGTTCCCATGAGGTTCCTTTGTTTCCGTCAGGCCCTGCCATGTCCCAGACACCCTTTGGTTCCGTGAGGTGCTGCAGGGTCACAATGTCCCCTTTATTCCATGAGGTTCTGCCATGTCCCAGGGTTCCTTTGGTTCCATGGGGTTCCACAGTGCCAAAACTCCCTGCTTCTTATCCTTCCAAAATTTGTGGGCCCATTCTATCCCTGCCTGGGATGGAGCACCATTGTGTTTGTGCAGGAATGGATCCATGGTCATCCTGCCACTGCACCAATTTAATGCTGCAGAAACATCACTCCAGGCCTGACACTGGATGCAGGAACAGTCTGGGAACTACAGACCTACTGACATTCAGCAGAGCCAGTCGGGGTCCCAAAGAGCACAAGTGATTGACTGCAACCCCTGCAGTTCTCTGGCATTGCTGGAGAGAAATGCAGGAACTGCCAGGAGCTCTGCAGAGCCCTGACAGTGCCACTGCAATCCCAAGCTGCATTGCCCGGCTCAACACTCAGCACAGCCAAGGCCACAACCCTCCCTGAAAGGTGTCCCTTCTGGGCAGGCTCAGGGGGACAAACCCCTCCATCTGTCCCTGCAGATGTTGTGTCCAATTCTCATCCCCCACTTAGGGACAAAGTCAGGCTACATTGGGTGTTTAGCTTTGCATTTGCTTCACTCTTTTGTGCTTCCAACACACACAAATACTCCCCAGTCTGGGCAGGGTCTGGCCCCCCAAAGAACACAAGACCTGACTATTTGTGGCTCCCGCTGCAGTGGCTGCAACTTGGGCCACAATCTGTGCCAGGAGCAGAGAGGTCCCTCCCCACAGAAACTTCTTGGCAATGGAGTTATTAGAGAAAAGGGGACAGGCTGTGGGGATCACTTGCAGGGCGCAGCCAGGGACGTGTCTTGACCAACCTCCTGTTTCACATGACCAGCTTTTTCAGCCTCTTTTCTCTGTTTTCTCATGCTTGTTCCTCCAGTGACCACTGAGATCCTCTCCTTGCTTTGGTTCTTTCCTAGACATCCCAGGACAAGTCTTGCCCAGTCCCCAAAGACCCTTTCTGGCTGCCCATCATGAGTCTCAGAGCCCGAGGCCGAATCCCCCATCCTCAGCTGCAAGGTCACCCTGAGAGGTTCTGCCATTGACCCACTTGGTTAAAGTTTCATACAGATCCCTTGGAACTTCCTTTCAATTAATTTTTTACCTTTTGGGCTTAGAAGGGTTTCTCCAAAACCATGGCAATTCATGTCCTCAGAAATGGGAATTCTTTGGAAGGAAGAGTTTGGGACTTTAGACTCAAAAGAATCACAGAATGAATTGGCTTGGAAGGGAGCTAAAAGGTCATCTGGTCCAAGTCCCTACACATGGACAGTATCATCTTTTACTAATTCAGGTTACTCACAGTCCCTGACCTTGGAGAAATGCAGGGATGGGACATCCAGTTCTCTGGAAACCTCTTCCAGTTCTTGCCTCCCTGATTGTCAAATCTTTCCTACTATGATCCAGTATAAAACTCTTCTCTTTCAGTTCAAAGCCACTGCCCCACGTTCTGCCACTACAGGCCTTGGTAAAAAGTATCCCTGTGATTTACTTAGATTCTGAGCACAACATTTTCATCTGCAAAAACATTAGTGAGTGCCCAGAGATCTCCCAAGATGGGCTTTAAAGGTCTCAAGCCCATGACCACTAGAGAGGGACTAAGGAGCTGTGGCCTCACTGGTGTGGAGAGTGAGGACAGTACAGGAGAGCCCTCAGAGGGCTTGAAGGGAGGATTTAGAGCTGGTGGATCCTTTTGTCAGAGCAGAAAAGAGCCTGAGAAAGAAAGAATTAATGCCAAGTGCAGCTGGGGAGGTCCTGAGTGGACATGAGGAAAAAGGAATTTCACTCCATGGAAAACGCTGTGCTACAACACGTCACCCAGGAGGAGTCTGGATGAGCCCAAGGCTTTGTGTGTGCAGGAAGAGCCAGGGAGGACGCAGAGATGTCAGTGCAGGAAGGTGCCAGCCAGGTGGGGCAACCGGGGGGATGACGACAGCCTGCAGGGAAAGGGGCAGGGCATGGACACCGTAGGACAGCCTGGGCTGGAGAGGAGACAGGGATGGGGAGAAGCTGAAAGGCCCTGACAGAGCCACCTTCTGCAGGCCTTTGGCCATGGCTGCTGTCTGTGCCCCTGATGCCAGGAGGAGGGGAGTGCCCCTTGCAGCCCTGGGGCCTCACGGGCTCCTTGTCCCTGCTCAGCAGCCTGGCAGGTGCCACCCCATGGTCCTGCCCTTGGCATTGCACATCCCACATCCCAGTGCCCCAGGAAGAGCCTTGAGGAATGAGGCAGGGACAGGATCTGCCTTCCCAGGGGCTGGGGGTCAGGGCTTGGCCCATTGGATTAAGTAAACAAGTCAAGGTTTCTTCAGCATCAGAGCCACCTTTCCCTTGCTTGTCCATCCTTGTCATCACTGTCTGCAGTTTTCTGCTCTAACTGGAACCTGGGGACAAGTTCTCAGTTGTGTCCTTCAGTGAGATTCATTAGCACTACAAGAAACTTCAGTGTTTCAATCTCACTTTGACTTCTTGAAAAGTTGTTTGAACTTACCCTCAGGGACTGAGTCTCATGTAAACAACATCAACCCCCCTGAGGGTCATGAAATGCCTGGGGCTGTTGCTGTGCTGCTGAGCTGGGCCGGGCTCCTGGCACACAGGGAGCTCCTGGCAAGCAAGAAGAGCTTCAAAGAGACAGCTCTGCTGGTGAGCAGCTCCTCTGCACAGCCCAGCAGGGCTGAGGGCACTGCCAGGGCAGCTCAGGGACACCAGCAGGGCACACACAGAGCTTCAAGGGGCTCAACACTGGCAGGAGGGCTGAGAGCTCCCTGCAGGAGGAATCTTGGCAGGGCTGCACACAGTGAGTCTGTGGCTGCAGGGCAGTGCAGGGGCAGCTCCTGGAGGCATCTCCTAAAGCTGGCCCAGCCTCAGCTGATGGGATGGGTGAGCAGGGGTTGTTTTGGGGCACTTTGGAAGAGCTGTGAAGCCGGGGGTGCAGCCAGGGATACCCAGGGCTGTGGGGCAGAGCAGGGTCCTGCAGCCCAGGGTGCTGTGCTGGGCAGGGACTCTGCTGCCTGCCAGGGGCAGCTCTCAGCCGGCCCGGGGAGCTCCTCCCAGGGTTGGGGCACAAGGGTTGTGGGCAAGGAGCAAACCTGGCAGCTGAGGGAGGATCTTTTCCATGTCTTGGTGATGCAGGGTCAGACCTGCTCACAGCTCCAGACCACTACACCATATTTAATGCAGAATTTTTTGCAAAGCTCAGAAAAGACAGGGGCTACAGGAAAGGAGTTACTCCTGAAGTGTGTTTCCTGCTTAGGCATTGTAGCATAAACATTGTTCTCTCAGTTCAGGAGGCTGCACTGAAATTCCAACTCTTTTACTCTCAGACATGAATATTTCAGGCAGTCTCAGAAATGAGCACAGGATCCTGGGCAGTGCTGAGCCTTCCCTTGGGGGTGGGCACTCTCCTGTCGCAGCCCTTGGCTTCTCTGCAGGAGGGCTCCTGTCCTGCTCTGTCCAGCACAGTTGCACCTCTGGGCTGGTACAGGGGACACTTCACAGAGTTGCCCTTTCAAGCAGCACTGCCCTGCTCTCAGCACAGATCTTGGTGGGGTTTTTAAAGATGAATCTGTGTGTGAAGTCATCTTCAAGGCAGCCCAAGGGAAGGTGCAGGGCAGATTGGAAACAGACTGAGAGGCAATGCAGCTCTCCTGGCTCTGCAATAAGCAAGGGAGAGCTCAGCCTTTCTGCCTGTCCTGGTTCAACATTCTTCAGATTTGTAATCGGAAAACTTTGCCCCTAAAAAAGCAGCTGTTATGATTGTAACCAAAAAACCCATTCAAAATTATTTTAAGGATACTCTGTGCCTCTCTTCTGCAGCCCAAATTGCTCCAAGACAACAGTACAGGAATTGAACTTTTCCATCAAAGCTGGGTTCAATGTGACATCCCCTGTGATCATGAGAACTGTCCCAAACCAGCTCCATGTCTGCACTGCATGCAGCAGAGAAAAGCTGAGTCCTTGGTAGCACACAGCCAGAGATCCTGCTCCTCACAGCACCCTCCAAGAGCACAAACCAGAGAAAAGAAATGCTTTGACTTGGAGGAGATTTACCTGAAAACTGCACTGACTCTGCTGAGAGGGGGCTGTCTTTATTGTTCCCTGTACTTTCCTTTTCTGAACAGACCTGTCCTAAGGAACAGCAAATGTCCAACAGCAGCTCCATGCCCCAGTTCCTCCTCCTGGCATTGGCAGATAGGCGGGAGCTGCAGCTCCTGCACTTCTGCCTCTTCCTGGCCATCTCCCTGGCTGCCCTCCTGGCCAACGGCCTCATCCTCAGCGCCGTAGCCTGTGACCACCACCTGCACACCCCCATGGGCTTCTTCCTGCTCAACCTCTCCCTCACAGACCTGGGCTGCACCTGCACCACTGTCCCCAAAGCCATGCACAATTCCCTCTGGGACATCACAACCATCTCTTACACAGGATGTGTTGCACAGGTCTTTCTGCTTGTCTTCTTCCTTGGAGCAGAGTTTTCCCTCCTCACCATCATGTGCTACGACCGCTACGTTGCCATCTGCAAACCCCTGCACTACGGGACCCTCCTGGGCAGCAGAGCTTGTGCCCACATGGCAGCAGCTGCCTGGGCCACTGGCTTTCTCACTGCTCTGCTGCACACAGTCAGTACATTTTCCCTGCCCCTGTGCCAGGGCAATGCCCTGGGCCAGTTCTTCTGTGAACTCCCCCACATCCTCAAGCTCTCCTGCTCACACTCAGGCTACCTCAGGGAAATTGGGCTCATTGTGGTTAATGCCTGTTTAGCACTTGTTTTTTTCATTTTCATTGTTTTCTCCTATGTGCAGATCTTCAGGGCTGTGCTGAGGATCCCGTCTGAGCAGGGACGGCACAAAGCCTTTTCCACGTGCCTCCCTCACCTGGCCGTGGTCTCCTTGTTTATCAGCACTGGCATATTTTCCAACCTCAAGCCCCCCTCCATCTCCTCCCCATCCCTGGACCTGGTTCTGTCAGTTCTGTACTCAGTGGTGCCTCCAGCACTGAATCCCCTCATATATAGCCTGAGGAACCAGGAACTCAAAGATGCCATAAGGAAAACACTGACTGGATGCTTTTCAGAAGCAAAAAGCTGCCTGTTTTCTTCTAATTCTTAACATTAATTGCTAAAAACCAATCCTCTCTTCTCAGGATTTTGGAGGAGCTAAGAATGTTTTCTTCAGTATTTTTACTTTTTATTATGTAGTGCAGAATAAAATTTTGTTCTGGATCGCACTTCTAATTCACTGTCTTCCTCCTGAATTTTACCCTTCCGCTCTGTAAATGAGGAACCCTCTCTGTATATTAAAACAAATAAAAGGACACAGTGGAAACCTGGTGGTTTTGATATGGTTCTTCAAAGACCTTTGTAAAATGTCAAGTCAGTGCCTGTGTGCAGGGGGGTTGGGGAAAAGGGGACCAGAACAGCAGCACTGCAAGGGAGCACCAGCGCTTGATCCTTCCCAATTCAACACTCCCCTTCTGTGCCTTTGCGTAAGGTCCCTGAGTGCTCTGGTTGGTTGGTCACTGTTCTGCTTGGTGTCAGTGCTGTGACCCCGGGCAGGGACAGAGTTGGGCTTAAGGACAGCAGAATCCTGCCCGGGCTGGAGTCACCAAGAGATAAAGTACCACGTGTCTGCTGTAATCCGTGAGAGCACAGGGCACACAGCAGGAACAGGGAAAGGAGTCTGGGGAGTGACTCATCTCCCCTCAGTGAACTTCCATAGGAGGTGCCAGGGCAGCCCCCAAAGCCATGTCCCAGCTCTGGAACAAGGCAGGGCCCCTCTGAGCACCCTCCATGGCCACACAGGAGTGTTTGTGGGAGGTGATCAGTGGCAGGGAGCACCATCAGCCGGCTCTGCCTCCCAGCTTGAGCAGCACAGCCCCACAGAGTCCTCCATGGCCCTGGGCCCCACAGCCCCCATGCTCTGCAGAGCAGCCCCACCAGCTCGGGGGCTGCTGTAAAGCCCTGTAGTGTTACAACTGCTCCTTGTTTCCATGAAGTTCCACAGTGTCCCTGGATTCCTTATGTTCCATGAGGTTTCACAGTGTCGCAAGGGCCTCCTGATTCCATGAAATTCCACTGTGGCCCAGGGTTCCTTTGTTTCCAAGAGGCCCTGCAGTGTCACAATGGCCTCCAGATTCCATTTCTGCAGTGTAACAATGGTCCCTTTTTTTCATCAGGCTGCCCAATGTCCCTGGGTTCCTTTGGCTCCATGGGGCCCTGCAGTGTCCCAGTGGCCTCTTGATTCCATGGGTTTCCCCAGTGTCACAATGGCCCTGTAATTCCATGAGGTTCTGCAGTTTCACAGTGGCTCCTTGATTCTGTGAGGTTGCACAGCATCATTACAAAACTGAGCCCATTCTGATGAAAGTTCTGAGGAGGTTAGGAGAAAAATAATTGGAGAAGGAAAGAGGGACTTGGCCAACAGATAGGAAAGATTCTGACAAGGTAAAACTAGGCTCAGGGAATGCTGAGGGTGCTGAAACACTGACTGTGTAAACACTCCTGATGGATCTTTATGTACTTTGTAACCTCAAGCCCCAACACTATCCAAAAGTGCTGCCCCTCCCACTGAAAGGAACACACTGCTCTAATTCCAAACCAGAAAAATCCCAAACCGAGAACTCCAGACTCTTCTTTGTCCTCTAATGCCCACTCCATTCCCAAATCTGTATTACCAGTATGAAAAACCAAACTTTAATCCTGACCCAGCCCAAAAGCCTAACCAGACACTGCCAGCAGAAAAACAAACCCCCCTAAACTTCTGTCTAATGCCAACTCTGAGCTGTAAACCCCAAACCCTGCCCATTAACCACCCCCACAGCCCTTGGGAGCAGGGCAAGGACCTGCAGGGCCCAGAGCAGGCCCAGGGGGTTGGCAGAGGAATGGGAGGTGACCTGGATGTGCTCAGCTCTGGAGTGACCCCCAGGAGAAGGGTCTGGGCTGTGGGAGGGATGTCCTGTGGCACAGGGGCTCAGGATCCAAGTTAAGAAGGCCAAATGCACATGGGGTTGCCTTGGGGGGCGTGTGGCCACCCAAACAAGGGAGTTGTCATGTCCCTGGACTCAGCCCTGGTGTCACCACATCTGGACTGGTCTGTCTGTCTGTGAGGTTCCCCATTCTGGAGGAATGAGGAAGAACTGGAGAGGGTCTAGAGGAGATCTGACAGGATGGAGCTTTTCTTGGTGCTGGAAAAAAAAGAACCCCCTAAAGTGCAGCTTGGAAGGTTCAGACTGAAGGTGGGGAAAAAGGAATGTTACTCAAAGGGGAACCTTATGGTGCCAGAGGTCACTAAGAGAGAGATGACATGGCTTTGTGTTCCAGGGAACAGCCAGAGTTGGTGCAGAGACATCAGGGAGGGTCTAGAAATGCTGCTGGGAGGGGGATGGGAAAGCAGGAGGGGTGTGTGCAGCCTGCAAGGCCAGAGGAGCAGCAGGGACAGGGCAAGCCAGCCTGCAGGAGAGATGGCCAAGGGCTCTGGCAGGGCTGCAAGGCC